CCAGGATAAAGAGGAACTGGGGGAATTTGCAACCACCAATTCAACTCTACAGAGAGTATTGCAGGATATTCTAAAAAAAGAAAACTACAAAGAATCCAGAAATGATGGCAGAGAGGCCACAATGAATGGAGCAGAGAACAAAATGAAGAAAACAAACTGACAACTAATGACAGAAAAAGAGCTCAACAGAAATGAGGCAGAGAAGATTGGATGATAGGAACAGCTATTTCGGAGAAAATGACATCTTAATAGGTAATACTGATTTAGTATCATCTTGTTTTGAAGTCTCATCTAGCTTTTGTCCTTCTGTCTCCAATGGTCTAAATAGGCTGTATCTTATTGGATTTTATTATGTATGATAGTATAAGCAAATACCTTTTAAAGACAAGGAGATTATACAGAAACCATTGTTCATTTTCTGTTAGTTGATTCTAAATACTCTGTAATGCTGTCATTCTCTTGAATGGTTTTACATTGTTTTGATATACTTAATGCTACAGTATACGAAGTTGTACTCAAGGATTTCAAAGAAAGAGACAATATGGTAACTACTTTTAGGTTAGGATTATCTGGTGGTGAAACACTACTCTGCCTAAATGGTTATGTTTTGATCTGCACTGTTTCGTTGTTATGCCCTCTTTTATCTCAATCTCCATTATTTACTTTTTTATCTTTATCCTTTTAATTAAAGGAAAAAAATAGCAGGATATATTATAGTAACCCACTTTGACTTTTCATTACCTTGATTTAAAGCCCTGTATTACTCTCACCATCTGGTTTTTAACTGATGTTCCCCTATTCTGTTTTGCTGGATAGTATCAGGTTCGAAAGTTTAGGCATCAGCTGTGAAGATAATGAGATTCATTATGACGCCCATTCTTGTTGACTTTTATCTACTTTTGAAGACCTACAATGTCTCCAATGTTTTGGTTTTGTCGGTTTTATTCTTTACTGTTTTGTTCAATTGTATTATAACTAACGATATAGGCAATTCTATTAGAGATAGCGGGAGGCATTATGGTAACCACCGTTGATCACCTTGTATTATGTTTTTACATTATCTATTATGTCCACCCTTTTGACTTGACCGATTTTGTTCTGTTATGTCACATTTGGTTTTACTCTCTTCCAAAAAAGTAATAAGAACCGTGGGAGCAATGAAACCCAAAATGTGTAATAGTCATGGTACAAAAGAGAGGAAAAGAAAGTGCTCCAAACTATATAACTGCATGTACATTTAAGTGTATAAGATAGAAAATGGTATCACAGTTTTATTGGATCAATGAACAGAACTGTTTGCAGTATCATTGATGGAATGTCCACTTTATAAGCTTTAATTTTGTGACTTGAACAATTATTTCTAAGAAGACAATATGTAATCCATTAACTAGTGATTTCCTACTGTTCATTTTTTTTCTGTAAATCTGTATAACTTGTACCCTTTCCCTGCTTTTTTTTTCTTTTCTCCTTAAATAAAATTAAAAAAAAAAAATTTAAAAAAAAAAAAAAAAAAAAAGAAAGTAATGAGGAAAGTCCCCTGTATATGCTTTAATTTTGTAACTTCAACAACTATTTCTAAGATGACAATATGTAATTAACTAGTGATTTCCTACTGTTTACTTTTTCTGAAATTCTGTATAACTTGTACCCTTTTTCTGTTTTTTTTTTCTCCTTAAATAAAATTAACAAAAAAAAAAAAGAAAGAAAGTAATGGGGACCAGGTTAATAATGCAGATTAAATTTAAAAGCATGCTGTGTCTGTAGACACTGTATTGTGAATAGCGTGAAAGTTTTTTTCCATTATATAGCAAGGAAGTTAAGTCTTTGAAAATGAATGTCTTTATTTTACTCTTATTTTAACATGAAATATCAACTGCTGGGCGTGGTGGTACATGCCTGCAGTCCCAGCACTCGGGAGGCTCAGGCAAGAAGATCACTGCATGTTTGAGACCATTCTGGCCAGCATGAACTATGCAGCAAGACCTTGTCTCAGACAAAAGGAAAAAAAAATCCACAACATTCATGTCAAAACTACTCGCTTGTTGACTATGCATTCAAGAATTGGTCAAAATTTCTTTTTAAAAAAACCTTTTTTTAACCATACTAGAGATGAACTCAAGACCTTCTCATTGAGCTACATTCCCAGTCCTTTTTCAGTTTTTTATTTTGAGAAAGGAGTTGTTGCTCCTTTCTCAAGTTGCTCAGGCTGGACTCAGATTTGCAATCCTCCTGGTGAGATTATAGTCTTGAATCACCACATCTGGCTAAAGAAAACATTCTTGAGTACAAACTGACAGAAATTTATAATCAAGATGATTCTATATTTTATAATTTGGAAATTGTGTGCTGCCCATATTTTATTATAATAAACTTATATATGGCTAGGGATGGTGGCCCATGCCTGTAATAACCATTTCTCAGGAGGCCAAGGGAGGACAGCTGCAAGTTTGAGGCCAACCTGGGAAACTTAGCAACCCTGTCTCAAAATAAAAATCAATAATAAGGGGCTAGGGATTTACCTCAGTGGTAGAGCACTTGCCTAGCATGTACAAGAACCTGAATTCAGTCCCCAGTGCTACAAAAAAGTAAATAAATATGTCTGTGTTTGTGTATTTTTTTTTTCTTTTTGGAAAATCAATTCTCAGTGATGGAGGAAAGGACAGGTTTGCTTCTAAAGAAGCCAATGATGCTGCTAAATGTCTTATGATGCAGAATGTGGTCCCCATAACAAATAATTATCCAGTCTGAAATGTCAGCAGTTAAGAAAACATTGCTCTAGGAGCTGGGGATTTAGCTCAGCGGCATAAGCGCCTGCCTTGCAAGCAGGCAGTCGTGAGTTTGATCCCTGGTACCGATAAAAAGGAAAAAAGACAAAAAAAAAAAGAAAAAAAATTGGTCTAGTAATTTTAGAACTTTTTTACATTAAGAATTCAGTTCTTGTGATTTTTTTTTTTTTTTTTTGAGATAGAGTCTTGCTATGTAGTTCAGACTGGCCTCACACTTCTCCTGCCTCAGCCTCCTGAGTGCTGCGATTGATGCCATCCTGTACTTAAAAAGAAAGGAGGGTGGGGGGAAGAAATGTACAGATCTTAAGCATATATTTGGCTCAGTTCTTTTATGTTTTGTTTTATTTTTGCAGTACTGGGAATTAAACCCAGGACCTTTGCAGTGTTGACTCAGTTTTCACAAATACAGCAGTGTAGCCTGGCTGCTATGTGGAGTTTCCTCATCACTCCCTAAAGTCTACTTTTGCCCTTCCACAGCCAATCCCTGATCTGATTCCAAAGCAACCACTGATCTGATTTCCATCACCTTAGATTTGCTTGTTCTAGTGGCTGATATAAATGAAATCAGTAAATATATGTGGTCTTGTGTCTGGTATCTTTAACTTAGCATAATGGTTTTAAGTTCGTCCAAATTATATCAGTTTATTACTGAGTAATAGTCACTATTATATTGATGTTCCATGGTTTGTTTATCTGTTTTCTTATTAATAGACATTTGTGCTATTTCCAGTTTGGGCTAAGATAGATAAAATTGCAATGAATACTTTTATATGTAAAAAAATCTTTTTGGCAGGTGTTTTCATTTCTCTTGATTAAGTATCTAAGGGTGAGGTGGAAGCTCATATTTAGCCTTTAAGCAACAGATTGCCTTTCAAAACTGAGGCCTGCTCTTCCATCATGATAAAACCCTGTCCACACTGCTTAGGTTTGTGTAAGGAGTAAGTCACATAGTGCCTGGGAAGAACTCAGCATGCTGGTTGGCACAAGTAAGAGTTGGCCCCAGTTTACATTAGCTGCTGACTTCTCTGTCTCAGCACTGACACTGAATGTCCAGCCACCTGCACACAGAATGCTTGTCCTTAGCTGTCCCCCAGCAGCACCAGTCTGCCCTGCTCATGCCAACTACTCTTCTCCCCCAGCCTCCACCCCTCGGCCTGGTGCTCCCTACATGGACCTTACCAAGGTGGATCCTCTCCTTCCTCTCACCTCCAGAGGTCACCCAGTCCTGTTGATTCCGCCACTTTACTAGCTCTTTCATGTGTCCCTCCCTCTTTGTTCTCTACAGTTGTCACCTTAGTTCTGACCATCAGCACATCCCTAGGATTGCTGCCATGGCCTTCTGAGGCCATCCTTTGAAGATGACCCCTTCAGTCCCCTGCCTGCACTGCAGTGGGAGGGGTCCATGCACAATACAAACCTGATCTTGCCACAATCCAGATGGACACTCAGCGACTTCCCAGGACAGACTCAGCTCCTAGCATTCTTCTCAAGCTCCTGCATGTTCTAAGCCTCATCTTTCTCCCACCTCATTCCTTTCATAAATTTGGTTTCCATCCCCTAGATCTCTTCCCATTATCTGGGCTTTTCTTTTTTTTTTCTTTTCTTTTTTTTTTTTTTTTTTTTTTTTGTCTTTTTCCTTTTTATTGGTACCGGGGATCGAACTCACGACTGCCTGCTTGCAAGGTAGGCGCTTATGCCGCTGAGCTAAATCCCCAGCCCCCTATCTGGGCTTTTCTTAAGAGACCTTTGCTTTGTGCTGCTTGCTGTACCTTTAAGGTTCTTCCTCTCCTTTCTCGCCCATCCCCAGCCCCTTCACCTTGCATATTCCATCAGCACCTAGCAAAGATTATTCTCAGTTCCAGGCGGCATTCTCTGCCAAGTGGCTCCTTCCCTGTCAGGCTGGGATAGATGCCCCCAACGTGACCTGGCACTCAGAACTCAAGTACTCATGGCATCAAATTTCCTGATACCCACTGACTCCTACCTAGACCTGAGTTCTCAGAAGACAGGAAGTATGTTTTATCATGCCAGAATCCCTGGCACCTCCACCATAGCAGGAACTCAACAGATCTTTGGGAAATTAAACTTTTGCATTTGTAGCATAAGAGAGTTCACGTAATTTGCTGCTGGACCTATTAAAGATGAAATCAGAGAGGAAAGCACATAGCATTTGAAATTGCTAGTTTCTTAGCTATTGTCTTGTCATCCTTACAGCCAGATGAAAATTCCCTGGATTTTTCCTCCTGTATGCTGCGGCCCGGGATTAAAAATGCCCAGGAACTTGCCTGTGGGGTGTGTCTCTTAAACGTGGACTCCAGGAGCCGGGTGAGTCACACGCCTCCCCTCGCATATGGATTATGTGGGACAGCCTCTTGCAGGCTCTTCACTGACTACAGGTGGAGCCTTTAAAGGGTCCCAAAAGGTGACCTAGGAGCAGATAATGCTTGCAAAAGGACAGCAGGGTGCACCATTGAGGGGATGGACTTTGTTCCTTCCTTTCTAAGAAGCACAGGCTTTGCCTGCAGCATCCTGGGTGCAGGGGGGCCGTACAGAGGAAAGGCTAAAGCTGTGAGGATTTATTTAGAGGCAGGAGGCCTTGTTCTGGAAACTTTTTTGACCTTACGGTTTCAACATTATTTCAGAAAGAAGAGAAGCCTGCAGAAGAACATCCTAAAAAAGTATGAACCGGTTACATGTTATCTTAGTGTCTCCATCTTAATTTTGAGTGTGGAAGGGAAATGGATGATTCTGTTGCCCTCCTGGACTGTTGCAATCATGAGTCCTTTACTGAGTCATTTTTGTTCCCATGATGTTTGATTTAGTCAACTAACACATCTGTGTGGATCTGCTACTGTCTTGTTTGCATGTTGTATCTCACATTTGGCTTCTGATGTTACAGCTGTTTTCCTCTGCGATGAACAGGGTAACACAATCAGCAGCTTCTGGAAGACTGAAAGTTGTGACACACAGAATGACATCAGAGCTTCAGGAGTTAGCCCTTAACTGACAAAAACAAAACATTTAAATTGAGCATGGCAGCACGTGCCCGTAGCTTCAGTCCTCTAGGAGGCTGAGCACAGGTGGAAAATCCCAAGTTTGAATCCAGCCTTAGACTCTGTCTCAAGATTTAAAAGGAACTGCCTAATCCCAGGAAGTGGTTGAAATGATCTGCAAATCACTCTAAAGTGTTTAATGCTATTTATTTTTTATGAGCCACAAAGCTGTTGGGACTTGTGAATAACAATAGTCTTCTCTTATTGGCAGTGAATACATTTCAGGACTCACCCTATATTTTCTATTTTTCCCTGTACCTATGTAACTAAGTTTAGCTTCTCAATTAGGTGCAGTAAAAGCTTAACAGCAGTAGTAAGATAGAGTATAACAGTATACCATAATAAAATTGATGTGAATGTAGTCTCATCAGAGAGGGAAGACAAATTGTTGATATTTTCAGACTGGTCTCTTGGGGATAACTGAAACTACAGATTAGGGGGCTGCTGTCTATCAAGTCAGCCATCAGCTTCCAATGGCATTGGACGATTAGAGTTGTTACCAAGTGTTTCAAGTTATCAAGTGTTATCAAGTGACCAAGTTCTGATCATTTTACTGTCATGGTAGCACTGTAATCAGCAATAGAAGTTTAAAGGACCCATGTTACAGCAGAGGGCAGTCTTCGGGAGGGGACATCCTTCACACCGAGGGATAGCAATTATCTATAGCCCTTGGCTATTTTTTTGTCATGTTAGGATTTCTCCTTCCTCCCATAACCTCTGCCTGCCTTTTCTTTGAAAGAGTTGGCCTTTGACTAAAACTAGGTTGAATGATAATGATTTTTATACCTTTAATTAGTGGTAAGAACTTCAGTTGAATTCCAGCTGCTGCTTGCTAGCTTTTATGTGTATGCCATTTGGGCCTCAGCCCTGGGACACCTGGAGAGGTGGACGTGTCAGCTGCTGATCCGCTCTTAGATGCAGAAAAAGCCTGACTTGCCCCACATCTCTGTCTATTTCTGGCAGGCATTCAACTCAGAAACAGACAGTTTCAAGCTGGCATACGGAGGGCACCAGTACCACGCCAGCTGTGCCAACTTCTGGATTAACTGTGTTGAACCAAAGCCTCCCGGCCTCATCCTGCCTGATTTGCTCTGAAGAGTTCCTCCATGAAGCACCAACAGTTTTGTTTTTGTTTTCTGTCACTCACCTTGGAGTGACATGGACCAATAAACAGAATGTGAGTACTGTGAAATTCACCTCCATGAATCTGTATGAAGAATTCCCCAAGAAGTAGGGCAGGAAAACACAGTGGCGCCTCCAGTCACTCCTGCAGGCAACCTTTTGATATCTGTTCGCACCGCCTGCCTTTGGGATTTGTGGTAAAATTGCCCTTCTCAAATAGTGTATGACATCTGATGTTTTCTTACTTATTTCTAGTTCTCATAAGGTGTTTTAAAATATGGACCACAGTTTTCTTTATGAAAGAATTTGCTGCTACAGTATTGAAGCTGTGAAGAATTGACATTTACAGAGCAGTAAGTTACTGTTGTAGGACTGGAGTTGGGTAGACTGTTGCAAGCTAGTGCTTGCTTATATCTGGGACACAGATGGTACTGTGAAGTCAACTACATTTCTCTGCATTAGTTTATAAAGATTTGACACGAATAAAAAGAGAATAGAGTGGTTAGCCTGGCACTCTATCTTCTTTAAAAAAAATCCTGCTTATCTCTGTTATACAGTGGTAGACAGTGAGGACAGAGCGTCTTTGCTGTCATGCCTGCGCCTCTTCTCCACAGCTTTCCCTTTACTCTTGATTCGTCAGCTCTAAAGAACTTTTTCCCAAAACGTACCTGGGCCCTTTGCTGGGGAGGAATCCATTTGACAGAGGCCTAAAACCTGTATACTAGGATGAATGTCCTTTTTCAGAGCTCTTGCTGAAAACCTGTTTTGCTTCACAGAAAGGTGAATATGAATGATTTTTTCTAGGCACTTTTCTAGACAAAATCTGGAAAGGGAGCTAAGTGTGGTGGTGCACACCTGTAATCCTGGCACTTGAGAAGCTGAGGCAGGAGGTCACTTGTGAGTCTGAGGCCAGCCTGGGCTGCAGTCAGTTTAAGGCCAGCTGAACCACACAGTGAGACCCTGTCTAAAAAACTCTGGAGAGGCCATGGAATGCAGTCTCTTTGCAGCAGCCTCTCTTTGTTTCCGGCGATGACTGCGTAGGAGCCAGCACTGCTGGACCTCACAGAATCCCTGAGAGAGAGAGCAGAGAATACACTCAGGGAGAGACGGTGAGCTCCAGCCCAGTGAGCAGAATGGTGACTGTATGTGTATTTAGGGTGGAGTCACACCACGGAGGCATGGAAGGAAATCGTGCAACAACAGTATTAAATTTTAAAAGGAAAAGACTCATGGAGTCTGGTGTAGGAGTGTTTTTTGTTTGTTGTTTGACATTTAAGCTGAATGCATAAAATTAGGAGAACAAAAGCCACGTGGTTAGGGGCTATTATTTCTGAGGAAGAATATACCAGTCTGGGGCAAATGTTTCTGGGAACTGTCAGCTATCTGCTTTATGAAGAGATTTTGAAGCTCATATGACTCACTCTGTGTGACTTGGGCTCTATGACATAGACTTTGATTTTACTTGAAAACTGAAGAAGTTGACTTCCATCTAAGTGCTGCTTTTACAGAGTTACTTTCTCATTTGAGAAAAAAACTTGAGGGAATTTTGTGTTCTTATACCTTTCACATTTTCTCTAAGAAAGTTTAGACTATTTTAAACAATTATTGACGTGGCTTCTGATTTACCTTGCTGTATACCAGAACACCCAAGCACTGATGAAATGTTCTTATTTGCACCAGATGACACCAACTCCAGCTATCAGTGACCAGGACAGCTAACTCAGTTGCTGCCTGGAGCATTTACTCTGCAGTAGTAGGGGCCACTTCATCCTGGACTGCCCTAGGATTTCAGCCTAACTAACAGCTTTCTGGGTAGTCTTGTAACCTCTATCCCAGAACCAGAATGAGAAACAGTGCTTCCCAGTCTGATAAACTTTGTATTGCTGCAACCAGTTTTGGAAATCCTGTATGGGGTGTTACCCTGTCACTGTCACCCCTATCAGTGACGGTGAACCTTTCAGAGCTCTCAGTGATAACAAACGGCCTGCTGCAGCACACATGTCAGAGGTTCACCACTGGCCTGTATCAATGACATTCTTTTAAAGCACCCTTTACTAGATTGGCTTTCATTCCTAGATTTATTTTAGAATGCCCGAGATAAATTCCTGAGTATAATCACAGTTATCTTCACCAAGTATGATCAATTTAGTCACTTTTTGGGAGGCACCAGAGGAAAACTTGGGAGACACTATTAAAAAAAACCTTCACAATGAAAAGTATTCATTACTTTTAGTATCTTTAATACCTGAAATGTTTAGATACCACCTATAAGGGTTTGGGGAGTGTGAAATGCCTTTGGGCTGGTTTTCTCTTTATGCATTTACTAAAACAGCTCAGCATTGCATTCAGCTTCACCTCAGCTCTGCTCTTGTAGCAAAGAGCCCAGTGTCCTTGGAAACAGTAACCAAGGTTACGTATTTCCATGCTGTGCATTGTGTCAGCAGCTTCACCCCACTGCTTGAATGGCGATTAATAAGCACTTTTCCTCTTTGGTATTGTTTTGTCTTTTAAATTTCTGTAGCTTAGTGTGTAATTTAATTTTTTGTCTGGACATGCTTGAAATAAAAAAGGTACAAGGTAGACAGGATATTACCCATGCTTTGTCTGTAGCCATTGCATTTCACATAGGCTACATATTTTTAAATTGCATATTTTGTGTATAAAAGCTGTCTGTGATTGGGGGGGGGACGTCTTGTTTAAAGATATCCTCTCCTTTCCCATGTAGGTAGTTTGTTCTTGCCAGACATGGTGGCACATACCTGTGGTCCAGCACTTGGGAAGTTCAGGCAGGAGGATCTCCAGTTCAAGGCCAGTTCAAACTACATAGTGAGACCCTGTCTCAAAAACAGTGTTGTAAGTTTTTAGAAAGTGGTAAGGGTTGTATGTTCTAGAAATTTGAAATGTTTGCCCTGTAGTGGGAACCACTATGAAAATTCCCTTACCACAGTCGAGGTCAGACTCCTTCTTTTGTGAACAACGAGGAGACTGGGGACATTTTCAAAGGCATTTACCATTCAGAAGAGAGCATTATAGCCTGCTGTAGACCATTCTGGCAAATACCAGAATGTGGGGGGCAAGATGCATTTAGCCTATGTCTTTTTATGTTTAGATTGTGTAGTACTTCTTTAGGTAAGTCTGCACCAAATAATATCAGAAAGATTTCTTACAAGGTCAAGCCAAGGAAATAAAAGCTTAGTAAGTGGAACAACTCCCAGTTGAATAACGCTGCTTTATAGGTATTTTTCTACCATAACAAAGGATCACTTTAACAGAAGTTTTACTAAATTCCTTTGTGTTGATGTGAACATAGTAAGTGGTTTTAAAGCATTCACAGGAGACATCTCGTTATTTTGTAGCTGTGGTTGTATTAACTAGTGAGTACGTGGGTCCATAGTAAGATGCGTTGTCTTGTGTATGATGTGAAATTTGTTCCTGTACTTTAAAAAGTGCTGTGATTTTTTTCCTTTGTTTATATTTTAATAAAAACTGTCCAGACTGACATGTTCCCACATTATAAAGCCTGACCTTTAAAGTATTTTCAGGGCTTACTCTGAAGTAACCATTTGTTAAACTTCTGAAACAGAAAACACAAGAATAGAAGACGGTCATGTTGCTAGTATTTTGGTCTTGTCTTTGCGGGATTCAGCTCTCTCATAGACGCAGGTCAGATGAGTGAACAAGGGTGAAGGCACCTGGAGTTAGGTTTCCTTAGTGCGAAGAACACTTACAGCCTGGGATGGTATTTGCCAGAATTTCTACAGGAGATTTTCCTTAACTAGCACCAGCAATATCTACCACCAGTTGTTTTTCCCTGTAACTACAATGATTATTTTGGGGCAGACTATGTGACCTAAATCTTGGCTTCTCGGTAAAGCCCTGGATTGTATCAATTTTTGGTCATGTGCCAAAAAATGTTGCATTTCCTCTTGTGTGTTCCTATTTCCCAAGGAAACTTAAATTTCCTGCTTAGACAATAGTATGTATTTACAAGAGTGTGCAAATGGTTCAGAACCAAAAAAAGGTAGACTTTAGATGGAAAGCCTCTGTCACAAGGTAAAACTGGAAGATAAAAATCCGTCTGCGTCACACATGGTAGCCCACGCCTATAATCCCGGCCACCTGGGAGAGTGAGGCAAGTTCAGCCAGGCGTGGTGGTGCACTCCTGAGGTCCCAGCACTCTGGAGGACGAGGAAAAAGGATTACTGAGCCTGAGGCCAGCCTGGACTATATATATAGTTCAAGGGCAGCCTGGGAAATTTAGCAAGACCCTGCCTCAAAAGAAAGAAAAATAAAATTTAAAAGTAAAAAAGATTGGAAGGTGGCTTAGCAGTAGAGCACTTAGGCCCTAGGTTCAACTCCTAGTGCTGAAAAAAGAAAAACGGTCTAACTAGGTAACTGCTAACAATATTCATGCCAATACTTCCTGCCAAAACAGGGCACAAAGTTAGAAAATTAATAAATGGGTAAGATACAACCTTCCTGGCAAATAAAACAGTACTGTGCCAGTGGTATTCATGTACAGAGCAGGCTTCAGGTGGCTCTCCTGTCTAAAATAAGGGGCAACCTGGTCAATACCCCGAATCCCAGGAGCAAGCAGAGAGGAGGCCATAAATTCCTGCCCTATCCCTGGGACTGTGCTGTCAAGAGTTATTGGGAGCAGGAAACTGGGTGAAAATAAAACCACTGTATCACTTTTTTAAAGACAGTTGCTCTGTGGTTCAGGCTGTCCTCGAACTCCCAGCGATCGTCCTGCCTCAGCATCCTGCGTGCTGGGATACTGGTGCACACCAGCACACTTGTCTGTCACATTCCCTGAGATCTGGTGGTAACAGTCAAGCAGAGGCACACTTGTTAAAAACCAGTGTGATGGAGGACTTGGTGCTTCAGTGCACTCTACCTCATCAGGAAGAGACTGGAAACAGTGCTTTTTTTAAGGCTTACTGTTTTCCACTATTCCAACATGTGAGTATTAACGCCTGCCTACCTGCAAGGACGCAGAACAGTCACACAGTTCAGCTGGAGTCTTGTCTTAAGTAGAGCTAATAACTGTTCCAAGAGCCATAGTTTAGTAGTTACTGGAGAGCATCTTTCTCCCATCAACACATATGCACATACCTACCGGAAAGCATTAGTACAAGTTCTACGTTAAGCACATATATTTATTAAAAAATAATGCTAATATCCTGGGCACATGGATTTCAAGACGGTCTTGCAGATTTCATTATAATTACTTATCAACCAAATAATAAAGGTTTACTTATTTTAACTTACAGTCAATAACAAAGGACAAAGGAAAGAGCTGGGCTACCCAGTAGAGACTGAAGCTGGTGTCGATCTCCTCTAAGCATCTGTATGGTTAGCAGCCTCGGGCAAAGCATGTGGGCAAAGAGTTATCAGGACTCAGATTTTTTGGACTGAACTCCTCCTGCACCTGCCATGGTGCCAAAAGGCATGGGATTCAGAATATAGCAGAACCAAACAGTTTATTAAACTGTCAAGTTGTTAAAAATGGTTAAAAGCCAGTTAAAGATTTCCATAAACACTATTTCAAAATGCTAGTTTTTAAAAATGTTACTAGCAAATGTATGTATTCCCCTTACGTCCCCTATCTCTTAAACTTGAATACCAAGTGTAAAAACACTTGAGGGAAAACCAAAGTCAACCACTTGAAAAGAAAGAGGAAGAGGGGAGCAGATGGTGTGAGCAGATGCTGGTACTGCTCAAGGGGCTGCTGATGCAGGCTTTGGTGGCATTAAATCCCCCAGTAAGGCATCAGGTGTCGGGACTCTTTCTCATAAACATCTGGAACTACGCCATAAGGTGTCTGTACCATCTTAACTGTTGACTTCCCAAAAAGCTGGCACTCGTAGTCTATCAGCTGCCTCCAGAAGCCCACATTGGGCCTGATGACAGGCCTCCGGGCTTTCACCCAGTTGTACGCATCCAGCAGGCACACGTTGTGGAATTTCATCAGGTACGCAATGCAGAGTGTGGCGGAGCGGCTCACCCCTGCGGCACAGTGCACCAAAGTAGCCCCATGCTTCCTGCTCACGCTGTGGATCTTGTCAGCCACGGTGTCAAAGTACAATCTAATGGGAGCATGTGGGATGTCAGCCAGAGGCACTTTAACATACTCAAACTGGGGCCAGTTGAAATTGGGGATCTCAATGGTAGCATTAACGATGCAGGTGATGCCTCGAGACTGGAGGAGGTGCCGGTTGGAGGCCACACTGCCTCTGCCCAGAAAGAGAGAGGAGGTGATTTGAGCGATGCCTCCTATGTCTCCCTCGGAAATCATCCGAGGAGCCATGAGAGTCCGTGGTAGTGTACTGTGACCTCTGGAGCTCATGAAGATGCCAGCAATCACACTTGCATCGTCGAGGACAAAACCAGACAGTTTCTTTGTCCTCCACCAAAGAATCCAAGGTTACAGTCGAGTCTCCTGCGAAACACAGACAACTGTTAGTACTTTAAATGCTACCGATTTATCACAGCCTTCTGCAGTGTTTCTAGAATAAAGAGGAAAGGATTAGAAAACTATTTTTTTAAATTAGCGTATATTTTCTCAAAGATACAGCCAATCATTTTCTATTGTCAGGAAAAGTAGCCTAACTGCCAGGCATGGTAGGACACGCCTGTAATCCCAGCACCTGGGAGGCTGAAGCAGGAGGATTGCCATGATTTTGAGGCCAGCCTGGGCTATACACTCAGTTGAAGGCCAGGCTGCACTACATGACATAGGCTACTTTTCCTTTTTTGTTTTCCTAAGACACCAATATGTAAAATCAATGTAAAACTTGGCTCTTGCAACTTTTTATTTTTTGGTACCAGGAATCAAATTCAGGACCTTGTGCTTACCAGGCAGGTGCTCACCAAGCTATACCCCTGCCATTGTAACTGTAAAAAACTCTTCCTGTCATCCTATTTTTAGAAAAGTTAATGACAGAAAATGTTTAACCTTCCTGCAGGAAGTCCTGTAGGGACTCTCACTGAAGGTGGAGGGGAGGCACTAATTGGTGATTAAGAAGAAATCAGAAATTTTACTCTTCCCCATAATACAGTCCATGCCTCCTCACAAAGGTACACTGGCTGTATTTTCATAAACCTAGCTCTGGAGAAAGATCTTACACAAGTGTAAAAATGACTTCACATTAGGCAGTATAGTTAATAAGCTACCTTTATGAACTAAAATTGAATCAGCAACCAAAAAGCCAGGTCATCTTAGCCCATTATTTAAAAGCAGCTATTTTCTATCATATCTGTGATGTATGAACATTTTCAAAGGCCAGTTAAATCTGAAGAATGTCCTGTGGCGTTTCCATGGAAATAGTCTCAGGCACTCTGAGGCACAGTCCTGTAAGCTAAGGGGCATTTTACCTGACCTGATCCTGAGTCTGCCAGTTCTAAGCTCCACAATGACTCCACTGGCTTCAGATATATGTTGCCATTAAAACTCATTTACTTTAGGCCAGAGATTTAGCTCAGCAGCGTAAGTGCCTGGCTGGCAAGTGCAAGGTCATGAGTTTAATCCCTGGTACCAAAAAAAAACTAACTTCAACATTTGAAGTTCATATTTTCTCATTAGTTCAGTGTTTACTATAAACACTCATGTAGCCACACAAAAGGAAACATTAGTGTCCACAGAAAAAGAAAAACAGCTTTGCAGAGATTTTAGATGTTGCAGTTCCTCTCACTGCAAAATCAGTGCTCCACAGCAGTCGTGGTGAGCCTACAACACACGTGCAGGAGTGGGCTGATGACATCACTACAAGCTCTGAAAAGTTCGTCACTGCTTTTCAGTCTGTACCCCTGGGAAATGGATTACACACACCTGGGTACCAGAGAAGTCTGTACTGGTTTTAGACAGAAATAGGCCGGGTATTACACGCAGAGGCAGGGGCGCAGCTCCTTACCTGCAGAGGGGGCCGGTGAGCGATGAAGCCCTGGTCTGGATCCAGAAAGTCCGAGGTAAGCAATACCAGTTGCAGTGGATGCAGCGGATCTGCAGGAAGACAAGGAGGCAAAGACATGGCCAGTTAGTTTACTGCTAGACAGTGTGAAATAAATCTAGGAAGTGGATCTGCTAGGTATTTCTGATCACTTAATACATGAGTAAAAACTACCAACCTAGGTCTCAGTTTTTAATGACAGCTCATACTACACAAAAGAGACGTATTTTTGAAAAGTGATTCGGAGACCACAGCACACAGTGAAACGTAAGGCACTGCAGGACCCTCAGGGCAGGTAACAGATGCAAAACTGAGCCAGTTTCCTCCCAGTCCCCTCAGTGAATCCAGAAGTGCAGACACTGGCAGACCCCCCAGTGAGCAGAGCCGCCAGCCAGGAAGCAGTGAAAGCTAGATAAGCAGCCAGGACACAGCGGAGCACAGGTCCAGGAAAGGCTGGGGTGCTGCGGGTGGGTGGACAGCAGGTGGAGCCGGCCACAGTGCTGGTGTGCAGAGGGCAAGCTCACGCTGGCCCTCTTACTTCACTTATGTAATACTATGAATATCTGGGGACATCATCAGAAATGTCCTCTCCCACCTGGCCCTCTGCCTTTCCTAGGGAAACATCACACTTAAAAAGTTTTTTCTGTAGCTTTGTTGAGATGTAAATGATGTAAAAACTGATGAGCTGACCTAGTATATAACTTGCCAAGTTTTAACATAAATACACATTTTCCCAAGACACTATGACCTCAGAATAAACATGGCTACCTCTCCCTCGAATCTCATGTTTGTTTATAATCCATCCCTTTCTTGCTGTCTGCCCCATTGCAAAGCAACTATTCATCTATTCCTCGACACTGTAGTTTACATTTTCTTTCCTTTTTTTTTTTTTTAAAGATCAAACCCAGGGTCTCACACTAGCCAAGTGTTCTACCACTGATAAAATCCCAGCCCTTTAAAAAATTTTTTAAACTAGGATCTCAATTAAGCTGCCCAGGTTGGCCTCAAACTTGCAATGCTCCTGCTTCAACCCCTGAACAGCTGAAATTACACGCCACTATGCCCTGCTAATCTGCTTTTCCAGATTTTACATAAATGGAATTCTGTATTTTTTTCTGGCCTTTCTTTCATTCAGTGTAATTTTCCACTCACCCACAACTTTGGATAATCACTAGCTCTTTCCTTTTTAATGCTGGATAGTATTCCATTGTGTAAATATGTATGATTTATAAAGCTCTTAGGAGTAAATGTACAGGCCTTTGTGTAGATATGATCTCCCTCGATCAAACACCTCTGACGAGAGGCTGTATCATGTAATGTGTGTAATATGTAACACACTAACAGTTTAGAGATGGAGGTGATGGCATGGTCCTGTAATCCCAGCTACTTGGAAGGTTGAGGCATGAGGTCAAAAGTTCCAGACAAGCCTAGGCAACACAGCAAGACCTTACCTCAACAAAGAGTAAATGACGCCTATAATTCCAGCATCCAGGAGGCAGAGGCAGGGGCAAACCTGGGCACACAGTGAAGCTCTATCTTAATATCCCCCCAAAAAAACCAGAAATATAGTTGAAAAGGGCCAAGGGCATAGGTTAGTGGTGCAACTCATGCCTTCGCATGTTCCAGGCCTTGGCTCCAACACTGCCTCCCTGCCCTGAATTTTTCCTTCCTAAATACTTCTATCATTATAATGCAGTGGTTCTCACACTAGCAGCATGAAGCTGAGGGCCAGGGAGAGTGCAGGTTACCGGGCCTCAGCTGCCAACTGAGCAGCACTGGAGTGGGGCTTCAGGGTGCACCTCCCTGGTGACGCCACCGCAGCCACTCAGGGACTCGCTCTGAGAGGCACCACAGATCTGGGAGCTGAGGCACCGCTCAGGTTCAAGACAGGCATTCTGTGTACCGGCCCTGACGGCTGCCAGGTGGCAGCACTGCCTCAGCCTGTTTGGGCCCCAAACTGAGGACAAGGTCACCACACACGGTACACAGAGTTCAGGAAGCACCCAGGGTGAGGAGGTGCAGAGAGGCAGCCACTCGGAAGCGCATGGTGGACCTAATGCACGGACAGGGCAGAAGCTCTGAGGTGAACACACAGTTTCCTGTGGCACAGGACACTCTCCTGCCGCTGGCAACTCTTTCCCTAGCAGAATCCTACAAAAAAAGCCAAGTCACTGCAGAAATAAACACAAAACTAGGCCTTCAAACTGCCGAGGACTCTAGCCTCAATGTGGAAAATCTGAAAGATGCTAATCAAATTTCCAAGTGAGTTATCTAATTAGGAGGGATCAGCCTGTGTCCTCCCAGATAATCTGCTGTGTGGGAAGCCACCGCCCTCCTGACCTGGGCACCGGGCTCACCAGCCTTTGCAGCAGAAGTCTTCACCAGGGGCTACGGCCGTGTAATGGAGGACTGGGGCCCAACTGCATCTGTTACCTCTCACTCCTAAACAGTGACAGAGTACTGTGCTACAGGGAAAGCAGATTGTGAATCCTCAGGGCAGAATCCAAGTGAGACAGACATGATGCTCCATCCCTGCTGCTGCCAGTCAGCCTCCTGCCAGCAGACCTGCGTCAAATGCCAGAGCTGGTCCCAAGTCTTTTTGGTTTTTTTTTTTTTTTTTTAATTTTTTTTTTCTTTGGTCTTTTTCTTTTTTTTTTTTTTAATCGGTACCGGGGATTGAACTCATGACTGCCTGCTTGCAAGGCAGGCGCTTATGCCGCTGAGCTAAATCCCCAGCCCCCGCTGGTCCCAAGTTTTAGAAAAACCACTTCTGCCAGAGAGCCACACATAGAGTGGCTATTACCGATGCTCCTCTGACAAGCTCCAGGGCCCCTTTACAGAGTAGAAAATGCAGGTTTGTTAAGATGATATGGCTGTGACTTAGACAAGTAAAAAATCCAGGAGATGATTGTGATATCTGGGCTTCCAACTCTAGACTGCATGTCCCACATTTCGGTGGGACCCTGAGGGGCAGCTGTGTCCTTGTCACCTGCCCTACAAGGCAGCTGGCACGTGCAGCACAGGAGAGGAGCTGGTGCACCTGCCTAAGAGTGGGTTTAAATGCTATTTACAGGGAAAGTGACTGTTCTAGTTTGACCCAGCAGCGCCCAGGTGAGCTACGCCACAGCCTGTATACCCTTCAGCGCACAGAAAGCCCCCCTCAAGCACACAGGCCTTGGCAATCCGCAGTCCAGCGGGCGCAAGAAGCTCTAGTTTGGTCCGGTTCTAAGATTAGCAGAACCTGATCATAAAGAATTCAGAAGAAACCCACGGATATTACATCACAAGGGCATGGAAATCGACTTAGTAAATGTGTACCCAGAGAGAGAGAGGAGATCTATTAGAAGCACTGGCCCATATTCGAAGGATCAAAGATTGGCTGATGCTGAGTGAACACAACAGTCCCTGGCAGCACCCTGGTCTCGGACAAAGCCTTCGTGGAGAACACTACAGAGCACCACGCTGCTGTCCAGGTGTGCAGCTCGGCCTTCTCAGTTGCTGGGCAGCAGCGCTCACTCCTTGGCGGGAAACACGCTTTCCCGAGAGGCTACTGGAGAAGGGGGAGGGGAATGGGGACGGTAAAGCTGGTGTGAAGATCCCACAATGAATCCCACTATTCTGTACAGGAAAAATGTGTCCCGGCCAAGGGAATGGGAGTGGGAGTGGAATGAAATACAGAGAGGAAGGCTGTCCTAAGTCAACCCCAGAGGGCTGGAGGGGTTTTGTTGGGTTTTCCCCTATCAGATGGGTACTGTGCCCACATAATGAGGTTTACAGAGAGCACATTTCACACAATGGAGTGAAAACCTAATCATCGAACAAACCAAAAAGGATTCCATTTGGGATTTTTTTTTTTTTAACTAGCTACAAGAAATGTCAGGAATGATGCTGGTCTCTGAATAAGCGTCAAGCACTGAGTGCTAAAGTCTAGAATTAGTGCCTGTCCGGTGGGTGGGCCTGCTCCTTCCTAGTTGAGCTGAGCCCACGGCCTGCTCCCTGCCCTGGAGGGCCCCGACACACAGCTGCCAGCCCTGCGTAAACGCTGGAAGCCAAGCCTGCAGCACTGGGACATGAGTGAAAATCACTTCCTGGGGTCATGGCGTTCCCTGCTCCTACAGGCGCACACTCATCCATCAGCAGTTAAAGAAAGAAACGACCTCCTTTCTCTTCCCTTGTTAAACAAGCCGAAAATGGCCACCACAGCGCTAGCGATGACTGTACATGATCTCACCAAAATATTCTTAGCTTTGGGAGTTTCAGAGGAACAGGGTGTGTACTAGATGTCCACAGTTACTCTTTAATACACAAAAGCTTACAGGAGCACATATTCTCTTTCCACTAAATGTCTACCTAGTTCTTTAAATAAATACCTTAATGTCCTTCTTTTCTAAATAGAAGAATTTTAGTCTAAACTGTCATAAATCAGTAGTACTTTGCTTGTTCATTTTCATTATTAAATCAGAAATGTGTCCCACTAGAGGGAAAGTTAAAATAACCACGCTTACAAAATCACAATGTGGTACTCTTTCATTACAGAAAAATAATTTAGGCATCCCCAATACAGTACATGAACATTAAGAATATAATTCAATTAACACAAGTCAAAATAAATGTCTCCTTAAAAATAAAATTCTATTAAATACCAAGTGGTATTCATGATCAAGTAAAATGAAGGAAAGATACTGATAAAGTACTCTCAATCACCTTTAAGAGTCTGGCTAAAACACCTCAACATCCTGTATTTGGAGGTGGAGTAATTTTGTGTTTCCTTCCATACTGATCACCTAACACACCAGTGTTCTGGGATGAAGATAAACAATAAAGATCCAGTAAAGGCTCAGAATTACCGTATGTCCCCAGTATGACACGGAGCTACCAAATAACAGCCTATGCTGTTGTGACTAAGCTGACCATCTCAGTGACCTCCCATGGACACAGCATTTGCTAAGCCTGACAAAAGGAGGATCATTTAAGTTTCTACCACGCCTGAGGCAGAACGTGCCACCGCCCGCAGGAGGAGACAGGCTACCTCCTTGACAGCAGGAAAAAGCAT